TCAAGTGATCCTCCTGCCTCAGCCATCCAAGTAGCTGGGACTACAGGAGCACCTGGCTAATTTTTAAATTTTTTGTAGAGGAGGGGTCTTGCTATGTTGCTCACGCAGGTCTCAAACTCCTGGGTTCAAGTGATCCTCCCACCTTGGCCTCCCAAAAGTGCTGGGATTAGAGGCGTGAGCCACTGTGCCCGGTCTTGTGTTAAAAGATTTGACTTGACATGGCTGAGCCTGTTTCTTCATCTGTCAAATGGTCTGTATGCCAGAAGGTTCCTAGGAAGATTAATCATTCACCGAGTATTTTACTTGGTTCCTAGAAAGTGCCAGATACTTTGCTAGGTGCCAAGGATACAAAAATGGAAAAGAAAAAAACATAGTCTCGGTCCTCCAGGAACTTACTGTCTAGTGTAGGAGACAGACAATGAAAAAGCAACAAACAGATTAAAAACTGCAAAGTGTGATAAGTACCGTGAAGAAGGTAGGCAGGAGCGGGATCCACCTTTCAGTTCAAGAGGCCAGGGAAAATCTCCCTGAGAAGTGGAACTTACTGAGTCCAGAGAATTGAGGAGCTTGTCAGGCAGAGCAGAGGGAGGAACATTCCAGGGAGAGGAATAAGACATGTAGAGGCAGAAAAATCTTGATGTGTTCTAGAAATAGAGAAGCCTAGAGCACAAGGGGTGAGGTGGGGACAGAAAGGCCTGTGATGGGAGGGAGGGACAGTGGCGCTGGATCCCGGCAGGAGTAGGCCCTCTAAACCGGGTGGTATGCTGCCGAAAAGTTCCAAGTGGGGAGGGTCACGCCCAGATGTGTATTTTAAAACTATTATTCTGCTGTGTGCTGAACAGACTTGAGGGTGCAAGAGTAGGAACGGGATACTGGTTGGCAGGTTATCTGCCGCAACAGCCTAGGTGACAGATGGTGATGTCTTAGATTAGGGTGGGAGCAGGGGAGCTGGAGGGAAGTGGACGGATTCAAGAAATACTTTGAAGGTAGAATTAAAGATCTTGGATGTGGGTGGAAAGAAGGAGAAAAAGGATTAAATCAAGTGTCACTCTTAGGTTTCTGGCTTGAGTGACAGGGTAGAAAACATTGCAATTACTGATACGGATATGACCTATATGTATAGGTACAAATTTGGGGGCAGAGATGAAATAACATGTTAACCTCCCTGAATCTCATGAAACAAAGGAAAAAAAAAAAAACAAGAGAGAGATAGAAAAAAAGAAATAACATGTTAAATACCTTTTTCAGTGCCCAGCATATAAAATACACTCAAGAAATGGGAATTATTACTATTACCTGGCCATTCCATGTTCCGTAACAATGGATTCTAGGAAACTGCAAACGGTAACCTTTTTGTCCTTGAATACGGTATACGAAAGCATGAAACAGAACAGGATTCTGAAAATGGATGGCAACAGGTTCTCTCTGAAATAAATTACAGAAAATATCACTAAAAAATTATGACACCTAGAGGGGAATATCTAAAATACAGCCAACTGAAGAAATTTTGGTTTATGAGAATACCATCTGATAAGGTCTTGCGCTTCTCTGAAACCACATTAACGAAAACATGTAATTACCAGAATGCTTCACATTGAAAGCTTTTATTTTGAAAAATAAAATACAAAAGTCATTAAGTTGTAAATGTATAACGGTAATTTCCCAACTTCTCAGAAACAATACAATGAATTATTTAAATAATGAAGATATTTAATATTATCCACATCAATACATTTAAACAGGCACGCGTGTTCTACAAAACATTAGAACATGTACAGACAACCTATTCCAAAATGAAACGGCCCAATTTTGCTTACAGAATCCCATTTTTAAACTCTCTCCTTGAAAACAAAGTTTGCAATCTGGTAAAAAACGATGAAGACAGGAGCAGTGTTAACAGAAAGCATGTGTCCCTTCTGGGCTCCTTCTCATGGGGCTTTGCATGTTATCAGGGTCAAGAGATCTTCACTCAGGAAGCAGATCACTCCAGGAAGCCCAAGTGTGTGCAGACACCTCTAGCTCTCAGCGGGGGAGACTAGCAAATGAAGAGATGTGGCCACAGTACAGATGTTCCACTGAGCTCAGCAAGGGACAGCCAGTTCTAGAAATTTCCCTTCCATGGAAAAGGCAGCAGTCTTTCCTAGGGCAAACAGACAATATGATTACAGATGTGGAGTCCCAGTCCGCTCTCCCTGTGCCATCACCACCTCCTTCCCGGCTGGGGAGGAGGCTCCTGCGGGGCAGGGGGACGGCGATCACTGAGAACAGCTACCGTGGAGGACTGCTCGAGATGGGATGCTTTTAGATGCCTGCAAGTCACTGCTATGTTCAAAACAAGCAGATGGCAGCCAGTGCAAAGGCCACGACTGCCCATTTCTAAACGACTGCAACTGTCATCTACAACTGCAGCTACTGTGGGGGCACTGGCAGGGGCATCAAACGTCCAGGGGCCAACATACTGATTCCTCATCATTTGAAAAAATGGACCCTAAGGTTCCTCAAAGGAATCTTTAGAGAACACAGTGACTGTTATTCAAATGCCAAAGGGACCCAAAAGATAAGAAGAAAGACTAGTATCTGTCTAAGATGCTTTGCTGTCTTCCCAGCTTGTCCTGAGTCCTCTCACCAGATGTGGGCACCCACAAGCGTCAACAAGCAAACAGGGACGAAATGCTGCTGAAGGCAGCACGATGGCTGGGGTCGCCTGACAGCGCACTGTCTCCTATAGATGGCCAGTCAGTGAGTCCACGTGCGTGTGTGTGTGTGTGTGTGTGTGTCTGTGTCTGTTTGGCGGGGAGTAAGATAACCTATAAATTTTGAAAGCATTTTGGATAAACAAAATTATCCAAGGCCTGATCTGATAACTGCTGTTAAACACGCATAACCACAGAGCACAAGTCTAACATTCTGCATTTGCTCCTTAGCAAAAAGGCAACCTTAATCCTGAAACCTATCAATATTATTAGCTCGCTGCCATCCACGATGATGACATGACACAGCAGTGTTCACGGGCTTCTTATGTCTGTAATCCACTGACACATGGCAAGTCATAAAAATCTCTTATTCAAATTATTCAACTTCAGCTTTCTCATGACTACAATAGTAGTTATACCACCTGCTGGCCAGTGGTTTGAGAACTGAATGAAATCATGTATCTATAAAAGTAATCATGTGTTATATATTATGTCATATATATAAATATAAAATGCTTGGTATTTTATGCCTGATGTGGAGCATGCACTGAATACATTATTATATAAAGGAAAAATAAAAACAAAAATCAGCAAGCAAAACTATGAGAAAAAAATCAATATCAGATTTTTAGAAAAACTATTCAAGTTCTAAATGATCAAAGGCATCATTATATCATTCAGAGCAAAACAGACTCTTAAGAAAGTTTTAGAGTGGGCTATGAGTTCTGAGCCACTATGTCAGGAGATCTGGATTTAGAAGCCAGCTTTGCCACTTAATGAGCTGCCATCCCTGGACGTGTACCTGATGATGTACACGTTCACAGATATTATATAAGGAGGCTTAAAAGGCATGGCTGGCCTCGTTCACACTGTAAGCCTTAGCTACAATGAGACAATGTAGGTTACAAACTAAGACATAATACATTAAAATGATCAAGGGCAAACTTGAAAACCAACCAACAACAAAAAAAGTGCAAAAACATTTGCAAGTCCAGCACACAGCGAAAGCAGCATGGGGGTAAGGTGTCTGGGGGCAGGGGGTATGGTGGAAGAAACCCTGGCCCATGTCAGGAGATGGTGTTCATTAGCTCTGGGTTTTCCCTACCTCTGACTTTAATAACCTGCTCTCCCTAGGATCAGTTTCCTTATTAGCAAATAGGCAGTGGGGCTTGATGGTCTCTAGATCCTTTTCAGCTAAAATAGTTTATAATTTTAAATTCCTCCTCATAATGAAAATAACTAACACTATTTGTGAGCTTATTATGTGCCAGGCTCTGTGTAGACATTATTATGATTACCACCACTCTCTTATTAATATGATCCTTGTTTTACAGATGAAGAAACTAAGGCACAGAGAGGTTAAATAATTTGCTCAATGCCACACAGTAAGTGATAGAGCCAGGATTGCAACCCAGGCAGCCTGACTCCAGACCTCTGTTCTCCACCCTGGCCACACTGCCTCCTGTGAGAGCCCAAGTGGGAAACCCAAAGACCCAGCAATGTCCCCCAGCTCTCACCTCATGTATGAAAGAGGTTCCTTGTTCTGCTACTCCATTTGCTCAGTCTGTTGAAGGAAGCAAAAGATGTCTTAAAGTCCTTGAAGTTGGTCAGCATGAGAAGTGACTGCTCCCACTGAAACATCAAACTTTTGAATGAACTCAGTCTGCTTCTGTTGTATAATAAAGAATTTGGCCTTTCCTCCTGGTTCCTGAGAAGAGACTCTAATTCCTTGGAAATTCCCAAGCAACAGGAATGTCTTCATTATTTACGAGTCCCCTGGATCACAGCTGAGTTTATGGTAAGAGATGAGCTGACTCAGGGTAGGGGCTGGTCACCACAAAGACCATCCACGGATTAGAGGGTTGGGGCTTCCAGCCAGGGGAGGGGAGGTTGGCTGGACACTGAGTTCCATTACACAACAGATGATGTATTCAGTCATGCCTACGTAAATAAACTTCAATAAAAACTCTGGGTGTGGAAGTTCAGAGGAGCTTCTGGTGGTGAACACACAGATGTGCCAAGAGGGTGATGTGCCCTGATTCCATGGGGAAAGGGAGCAGAAGTTCTATATTCAGGACCCTCCCAGACCTAGCCCTATGTGTCTCTTCATTTGACAGGTCCTGATTTGCAGCCTTTATAATAAAACTGTGATGGTAAGTGTCGCCTTTCCTGACTTGTGTGAGCCATCTAGCTAATTACTTAACCTGAGGGTTCTATGGGCTTCAGTTTTCTCATTCATTGGAAGTTAAACCAAAGTCCTCTACAGGCCCTTTTCTAAATATGTGTGTGTGGGAGTGAGAGAGAGGTCCATTAAATGAAATTAACCATAGTGAGGGGCTCTGAAGTGTCTTTTTCTATTGATTTGTAAGAATTCTCTATATTCTATATATGAGCCCTTTGTTTCAAACATTTTCTCCTACTTAACACTTTTTAATCTCTTTATGATGATTTTTAATAAGTAAACATTCTCAAACTTTTTTTCTTTCTTTCTTTTTTTTTTTTTGAGACAGGGTCCTGCTTGGTTACCCAGGCTGGAGTGCAGTGGCATCATCACAGCTCACTGCAGCATCAAACTCCTCGGCTCAAGTGCTCCTCCTGCCTCAGCTTCAAAGTAGCTAGGACTACGAGTGAGGGCCACTGCACTCAGCTAACTTAAAAAAAATTTTTTTTGTAGAGATGGGGTCTTACTATGTTGCCTGGGCTGATCTCAAACTCCGGCCTCAGTGATCCTCTGCCTTGGCCTCA